GATACAGGTCTAAAGAAAACAGATGTCCATCTACTCAAAGAGGGGACAGGTAGAGAAAGAGAGAGATATTAACACAGAGAGGGGAGAGAAAGAAACAGAGAAAGGAAGAGAAATAAAGAGAAGGAAGGAGGGAGGGAGGGAAGGAGAGAAGGAAGAAATTATTTCACCGCATTACTCAGTGAAAGGTGTATCTCCTGAACTTTGCAGGGCACAATAACATTTGAAGTTAAAATCTTGAACCACCAGATGGAGGATTTAGCCCTCTCTTTTACAATTAGTTCCTTGTCATGCCGTGTTCTACTTTTACAGAAAAACAGGGAAGCCAAGTCTCTTTTGGGTTTTAAAGACAATGGAATAGAAATCGGCCAGGAGAAGAAGCAAAAACGTCACTGTCCTGAGCAATCCACTGAAGAAAATTAACTTTCCCAAAACAAACACTGGAGATATTAAAGATCACTACTTTAATCTGTCCAGACACCTGAATGTGACATCTGGACAGCAAAATTGCTATTTATTCTTTCCAAGGAACGTAAACTGAGTCACTGGCACAGAACAAAGAATTTAAAGTCAAATTATGCCCCATGTGGCAAAAGTGGCAAGTGTCACCTGTGCCACGTCATCCAGATACTACCAGATAATCTACAGCTCAGATGAAGAAGAAAATGAGAATGACTGAAAATTTCTTATTGGTTTTGACCCTGGCATACATCTCATCAAAAGCCATGGTGATTAAATGTCTTGTTCTGAATCTCAAAAAACTTCCCTGACTTACACTTCTTGCCAAAACTTTTTCACTCTCTGTGAAGAAGGATGTTATCTTTTTCATAGAGGAGGTGTCAGGTCATGGCCCCTGGCAAATCAACATGAATCACAGGCCACATGATTCAAATGTGCTCCAAGAAAGAGAATTTTAGCATCCTGAAACTCCACGTTTACAGAACTGAATGAGGAAACCAGTGAATTAAGAGGCCAATCCTTTCACATTCATTATTAAAAACAGTAAAGGAGGGAGAGTAAAACATTACCTCTGACTTATACCTTTTATATAGAAAAACCAGGCAGACTGGCCTGGCATTATTAGTTTTACTAGAATATCTGCTGGATAACACAACAGATATGCATGCAGGTAAACATAAACACACATGCACACACAATAGTGAACTTTGGGTTTGCAGCTAGGCTCTGGTAACCCATGTCTCCTGGGCATAAACCAACTATGAAGGAACAGGAAAATGTCAGTGTAATGGTTAACTAGCTCAGTGGGCTACCATTCATCACAAGCAGAAAAACAGCAGTGCGGGCTGCAATGCTGGTCCCCTTTACCCCTGGAATGTTACTGAATGCCTGTCATTAAATTCAGCAATGAAAAAAACCCAGCAAATGTAGTGTCAATATAAGAAAGAAGCTGAATTTCACCTTCTGGAGCTGCAAGTAAGGAGGACTTCTGCATGAAAGCAGAAATTTCCTGTGAAGCTTGATGTTGAAAGAACACGACACATTCCAGTATCAACAGTTATCAGATATGAATGCACAGGTTTTGGTAGGATTAACAAGGTTATTGCTATCAGATCTAGGTAATTATTCCCTATACAGCAGTAAGTGATCAATTCTTGTGTCAACTGGCAAAGTGTCAATGTTGTTAGCTGCAACCATGGCACTGGTACTGCAGCAGAGGGTTAAAGTGCATCTATTCAGGCGAAAGACTAAACCAGGAGAACTCCTACAGCCTATCAGGGAATTCCCTCAAATACTTCTAAATCTTTCAAAGTCTTTTACAGCAGTGCATTGAAAGTGAACATACCACAACACCCACTGTGTTTCTTCCAGTGCTACCTTGGTAAGCAGTTTGCAGACAGGCAATACACTACTGCCTGGACTTCAGCTTGAAAAGACAAATTTCATCTGCTTTTTTTTCTAGTTTTCAATGATTTAATTTCATCAGCCATGGCAGAAATGACTATCAAAAATTCAGGTTTATTTTTTTTATTTTTCAACAAAAGCATTGGCTTCTTCTTTAAGAAGACCTTGAAATAAATGCTTTAGAAAAAAACACACAAAAAACCCCAGATTCTTGCTCTCCACAAACTCCCTTTCTCTCTGAAAGGGTTTGTTCTGTGTGTGGATAATTCATTTACTTTAATTATTTTGAAGTGCTTCCGTTTGAGTGGGTAGGAGTTAAGTATCCACAACACCAAAGTAGGTGCCAGAATTAGTTGTTGTAAACAAAATGTTCTGCTGCAGTGGCCCAAATCCTCACAAACGGTAAGCCTTGAGTATTTTGTCCTTTCCATAAAGAGTACCCAGATCCATGAGAATGTATTATAGGACTTACATTTTATGGACAGGTCATATCTTTCTAATCAGGAACTTCAGTTGTTACCCTTTGTTGGATGTTCTGAGTCCAGATAGCTTTCTGGTTAATTAGGTACACACACTAAAAACAAGAAGAAAACAAGCCAAGAAAGTCCTAGGAAAACTTCAGATGGAAGCGTTTGGACGTAGTTATGTGCACACGTCCACAGAGAGAAGAGGAGGATTCTAGGGAAAATACACAGGATTATCACTTTACAGTCAGTGCACACTGACTTGAAGAAGGATTCAAAAAATAAACACATCTAATATTTAAATTCCAGGCTGCATATTCAGTGACACCCTTTCTCTCATGACTGTATCTACACTCAAAACCAAAACCCCAGCAGCTGAACACCTACAGCTTTGAGGAATTTTAGTTCTCGATCTCATGGCAAAGCTACCATCCAAACGTTCCACTGTACCCACAGGCTTCTACTACACCACATTCTGATTTAAGTACGTGAGTGCAAGAAAACTACAACCAAAGACAGAGGAAGCTGCTGAAATGAAGAGTCTGTGCTACTCATCCCTTCATAGACACAAAGATGTGACATCTGGAGAAACATAAGCTATCTCCTCAGGTACGTTTCATTCCATAGGTGTCCCCATTTTCTAACTGCATTTCTGTGCTTTGCACAAACTTCCACACAGCTTTATAGCTCCTCTGCACTGTTGCCCATAGTTACACCCAGTATTTACAGGTAAGCCTGCAGCCTTGTTCCTCCATGGAGGTAAACAAAAGAGGAAGGGAAATGGTATGAAGGAAAGCAGGAAACAATTCTGCACTTACTTGTCTGTAGTTGGTAGCTATATCTTCGGAATAGTTGCTTTAAAATACAGGTTGTTATTGAGGTTAGGTTTAAAAATCTTCGCCAGTTTTGACATTCAGGTGAAGATATCGCTGCTGGCTCCAGAATAATTTGCTTATCTTATCACTAAATAAAATGTCTGAGGTGCGCACCAATCTGATGAAATTATAAACAAGAGTCCACACAAGTACACATGCCTTCCTGTTTGATTTCTGTCCTGTTCACTCCTCTATAATAAATCATATGATCATCTCATTCTAGCTGGAGGTTTAACTGTGCATGTAAAAAGGAAAATGATAGCAGCCTATTCTTACCCATACTTTACAGCTAAGAACCTGACAAAAATGTGATTTTGGAGAACAAACAGAAAGCTTATTTTGCTACCATCCACCTCCTCTTTTATTGCTACAGAATTAGTGGAAAATCCCATGTATTTATGTATTTTTAAAAATAATTTCCCACCCTGAAAGTGAATAAATAAATTAAACTACACCTCTTTTACTACAAAGACAAATATGCATGCCTAACTTTATGTCTTGCAATTAATCTCACGTATTTCAACAGGATTACTCATAATGATGTAAGCGAAATACATGTGTAAATCCTTGCAGAATCATGGCCTGAATTGCCAACAGTTATATAGCACAATTAAATGCCTAGGTATAAATGTCTCTACAAAAAGATCAGAAAAAAAAAACCCCAACAACTTTAGGCATAATATGTAACAAAATTTACTTCAAGGAGTGACTATGGGAGTAATAGCATTGAGGGTGTCGCTTTCCCCTGGGAAATTCACCTGTCACCAAATCCTTTCATAAATTCATCTTCTTCCTCTACCAGTTACCACCTTCACTTACCACTCTTTTCTCTATCACCAAATATGACTCTCCCTTCCCACACTTCCCCAGCTGCCACGGGAAGGAGGAGACAGAAGATGCATCTTACTCATTCTTTTGCACTGTGAAGCAGGGTGAGAGCAGATTCTGGCCCTGACATTTACCAGCACGGTAATAAAGGGCTCATGTGCTAATTAACAGGCCTGGGGTGCACAACTTTGCTCCTCAGCCTGTTTCTGAACTGTTCACATGCCAGTGTCTCACTGACAATTGCCTGGTAAACGCTATGGACAACCCTTAACTATCACTGGAGTTCATTACAGGGAGCTGCTGATCAAAATGTATATAAATTGGGATACCCAAACTGCCCAAACCTGCCTCCTGAGGAGCAGCCTACCACCGGCTTTCTTCTGCAAATACTCATGAATGGCATACGAGAAGTTACTCATGATCAGGTTTTTTACTAAAATCCACGGCTCACGCAAAAACTTCTGCTTATAAATTAACTCAGTTGGAAATATTAACTAAAATGCCAGGAAAACAAAGTCAATCCCTTAAAAGTTCAAATGACTATTTGTCACAAACATTTCACCTCTACTAATGAACTGCAAAAATGAATGATAGAAATGCAAAACTGTATTATGTTTAGCAGTTAACATTTTAATAAGAAGGAGATTAGCAATTTTTAATACCTCCAGTGCTTTGTTATATACAATAGCACAATAACTGAATATTTTAATTGCTAATTATTTAGACCTCATTCAGTTCTCACTCAGGCAAAACTCCCATTGAGGGACTCTTGCCTGAGAAAAGAGCTACAGGATTTGTTTTACTGTAATTTGAAAAAACTTTATATATCATAAAAAACTATCAAATAATAGTGAGAGAAAAATCATTAAATCCTTAGCAATATTAAATCCTACTGAAATTCCCATTGACTCTCAACACCAATGTTTTCATATTAAGTAAAACAGATAATTGCAGTTTACCAGTTGAAACTTACCTGTATAATTTATGCCCAGATATGCTGGTGGCTCTTAAAGAGGTCTAATAATGTTTTGATTCCTCTTACTGTATCCCTGCTTTTCTCCTGTGGGAAATCTCAGTTCAGATGTGATAAGGAAACAGCATTTCCAAACAATTATGATAGCAACACCTTCAGAAGCAGAAACATTAGCATTTGGTTTTACCTTTTGACTTCGGCCTCCAAAAGGGTTAAGAGCAGTTCTCAACACTTCTTTCTTATGCTGCTGTAAAGAAAATAAGTAAGTATGTTTAGGGATTTGCACACAAAAAACCTCGAGTTTCCATAACAGTCAAATAGCTGGTGTTCAGTGGGGGAAGTGGGTGGAATGCCATATATATATAAATACAGCTATCTGAAGGAAGACAAAACAAAGTCCTACACATTCACATGTAGTGCACAGGTGACAAACAAACTAATTGTACTAGTATTTCAAATGTCATGCTATGCACATGCTTCAGAGAGGAAAGTTATACAGCTGGACACAAAATAATTATGGAGTGATACTTCAAAAAAGTAAATATCTTTTTTTTTTTCCCCATTAAGTGTAGTTTAATTCCTCTTAGGGATAAAAACAAATGTGTGTAACAAATAAAGTTTTTCCACTTCTGTTTGTCATTCAAATGCATTTTATAAATGGCTTTAATGACTAAAATGTTCAGAAAACCTGTCCATTCTAGAAACCAAGAATTAAAAGCAGACCTAGTAGCATATAATGTTAACTACCAAAATGTTCAGAGGTGGAGAACCTTTACTTATTTAGAAAGAAAGCACACAACGTGTTGCTTTCTCATATAAAGCAGATATAACACCAGTAGGCTTTCAGGCTCATTGTTTCCAAGCCTGACTTCCCACTGGCTCCAGGCTACTACAGGGATGGTTCTGCTTCTTTCTCTGAAACATGCTCAAAATTTCTTTTCAGATCTTGTAATTTTCCTTTTGTTTTCTGGGTGCTTTCTACCTGTGGTCATTACAATCAAATGATGCATCCAACAGCATTTGAAGGAATTTTCCTATTATAATCCCCCAGGCTGTGTGGGTCAGTCCTGAGTGTACTCGGCATCATCTGCTGGATGGGAGCTTCCACTGTTTTCAGGGAAGATGGTTTATTTTGCTTGATCTAAGGCTGTGCAACAAATGCTTCAGCTTTCCTAAAGCCTGCAGTTGCCTGAATAGAGAGAGGCTCACTGGACAGCGGCTGTTAGCGCTTTCCAGCATTACACAAGGATGGTCTGGAACAGTCTGTCAGATCTGCACAGACAATGAATAAAGCAAAGCAGAAGGCCTAGATATTGAGTAATGAGGGTTGGGTTTTGACCTTTAAATGCTGCTGGATGGATTGCACAAGGTTATGTTTGATTCAAGTGACACTATAAGGTACAAAATTGTACTGTTTGCCTAGAGTCTACCTCATCTACCAGCTGCACCACTCTGAGCTTGCTGGCACACTAGGTGCTGCTGTGAGAGATGGCTCTGCTGAGTGAGCCCAGTAAGAGAGGGTGGTACTGGGGAACCTGGAACAGCTGAAAAGCATGGAAAGAGCATGGGAAAGTATGACCACATGGTGTGAGAGAAAATTTTCTATTTTAAAACCCATCAACCTTTCAGACCTTCAGCAGTGCTTAGACTCCTCGCGCTCTGCAAAGGATTAAATCCAAGTCAAAAGTCTGTTTCTCTTCTCTGGCCTACTGGCAATTTGAAAACTTGTACAACTGCTCATGATGACAAGCTACCCTCTTGTCAGCTGTAATTTTTGCCAGAAACTGCTGTACAAGTCTGTATAACTCTTACAGTTACTTTATTTTCACAATCATTAATTGATCCTTTCTAAACATTTGAATGCCTGAATTTAATTAGAGGCAACATTTCTGCCACAGTTTTTATAACTGTTTTTAGACATGATTTAAATTCATCAAGCCTTATACTTGAGATGGTAATTTGTTGGACCAAGACAGCTGTTTCCAGGCCATACACCTTGTTTTCCATTCCAACCTCTGTGTTTAAACCTTGTGGTTTAACTTAGATCAACAGCTTATTGGTGATTCAAATTATATCATATAAAATAATGCCCTCAAAATCTGATGCATCTGTATGACATCAGTGGAGTGAAAAGCTCCGCATGCAATTCAGGAAACCGCTTTGTTTTTTTCACTTTTACATGAAAGTTAGCTCCATGTACTAAGCAGAGGTGAATACTTCACACCATAGGCTCACTAGAGGCTTACTGGGCTCAAAGCTGTAAGTCTGCCAGTCCTCTGAGAGACTTGAGGTAGGCCACGGTGATTTCCTAGAAAAATGTGCTTTTCAGGATGAAGTAAATGAATGAAAATGAAAAGTAAATGAAAAAAATTTATCAGCTCTGCTTTTCAAATATCTAATCAGAATGAGATCTACCACAAAATTAAGAAATATAGAAGTGGACGACTTAAACATTTCTAAATTAAAAATGCCTCTTCCACTATGCTAATTGCTTGTGCAGTAACAAGAGCATCCTGTACTGCTGAAAATACAAACAAGAGGAACTATACAGACTTTTTCATTTCCTTATCTTGATGCCTTATAAGCTGCATGACCTTCTGACATTTGCTACTAATGAAAAAAACACTGTTCAGTGACCTATCATCAGATTAAGTGAAACTGAGATAAATGCATTCCATTCAAGAAAATGTAAAGAATGTGTCACTTTTATTTACATTTTCACTCAAGGTTATGGGGGGGGAAGGGGAGGCAATACTGTAGGATGGTAAATTTTCTCTTTTTAAGATGCTACATTTATGAACACAATTCAAAGAGTAAGATAAATTATATTAGCATTGCTCCAGTTCAATTCCTTCCAAACACAGTCATCACACATACAAACTAAAGTCCAGCAGCAAGTGAATGAAAGAAATCACTGTTTATTAATGCTAAGAATATAGGAGCCAAAAAGAATCTCAGACATGATTCACTGTGAGAATACTCGTAAATCTCTTGGCCTCTTTTGAGATTCAACCTGGCATGAAACGTGTGCAAAATGGACAGCGCATCACAAAAATGGTCTACAAAAAAATTAAAAAAAAAATGTGTGAGAACTTAATGTTTGTGGAAAAGTCTTATCTGGCACACTTAAAGCTTGAAATCCCCTCATTTTCAGGGCAGCATTTCTAGCAGGAGAAGAGATTGCCTCACACAGGCTCACCACTACCTCTCAGCTTTGAGCTGAGGGACCATGCTGAATGGTCAAGTTATGTGGCTGGTTCAACCCTTCACTGGACTTACAACCACAGAGCAAATCTTACTGACTGCAGCAATGTGTTTTTGTGATATGGACTTTGGTCCACTGAGAACTACGGTTGAGATATCTGTAAACTTTTCTTAAGAGTCAAGCTTGTCTGTCTGGGAATAAAAAAAAAGAACACATCGAGTGACTAGCATTAAATTCCATGATAAAGACATTGTCTGAAGAATTTCTGAAGGAACCTGCCCAAAGCTGACTACTGATCTGGTCTGCAAGTATAAGATAAAGAACTGGACATGATTTGGCATTTTTGTGGGAAAGGAAGCTGCATACATGTAGAGAAAAAATTTACAGAAGTGACTGTGTTACAGTTACATCCTTCACACATGAAAAAGTCTTTCAGGAAACAATTTAAGTTCCCTGTGCACTACTCAAATCTATTTGAAAAATACTGTTTGCCCATATTTATCTCTGTGGAAGACTTGGATTAAATGTCTAGGCTCAGGACAAAATGTTCTTTGAAGGCAACAGTCACATGACGGAGAAAAGGGAGCATCTGTAATGCTGTCTGTGAGGTTGATATGCTTTCACTTCATGTACCATAAGTTTACTTAAACAGAAATCATCACCTGGAACATGAGCAGCAAATGGCATTTTTAATATCAGAGGTACTAGCAATGAGCCTGTGCATTTCTTCAGAAGGAAATACCAGTGCAGACAGGGAATTAAAACATGCCATGGTAACAGATGAAGACTTCAACTGTCAACAAAATCAGGCTATTAATTTTCACATAAACAGTCTTTTAAAATCTTTGATTTTTAATATACAGTCCAAAGATCACTCTCACATTTCAGCAGCTTTTGTCTTTTAATGCCGATCACTTCAACTGACTTTTCACACTAGCCTGTGCTTTGTCTCCCCTTTGGAAAATGTGAGTGAAAATATCAAATGATATCTTATTCTGCCAAGACCAAAGGAACAGTTCAAACGTTCAAAAATATTAGGCAGTGGCCTCACTTAAGGCAGGAAGGGAATGTGATTAGCAGTGGGCAGGGGAGGAGGGGGGAACCAAACCCAAATCCAAACCTGTTCTCTTTCTCTATTTCAATCTATGCTCAGGGCTAGACTATGTGAAACAACAAGCAAAAATTACTGGACAGAAAACACAGAATTATTTTGCTTCTCATCACATTCTCTTCTCAAGTGACAGGTACTGAGATTCAAGAGGAGCCTGAGAAGCCATTAGCCTGTTCATTACCACTGAAAGCAGAGGTGGCTCCAAATGTGGCTGGGTGAGCAACAGACAGCAACAACAGAGCAACTGTGCTCTCCTCAGAAGACAAGGATTTCAGACTTTACATCTCTCAGTTCACAGCATCTCCCCAGACTGTAACTCACTCAAACAGAAAGCGGACACATGATGTGTCTGTTACCAATCTTTCTCTTCAAATTTCTGTGCTATTTCTGAAACAGAACAAGGCTGGAACTTTCCTTCGACTGAGATGAACCAAATGTCACCTCATAACAGAGACCTCTCTGTCTCTGGTCACTGAAAACACAAAGTAGGAATCAAAGGTGCTGCTTTTGTCTGAAAAATCATTATCACCTTTAAGATTTAATTCCCTCAAAACACTAGAGATTATTCTGGAGGAATGCAGAAGGGAAGTGAGAGACGACAATTCTCCATTCTCTCCAGAGATTATGTGTCCCTACAGATTTTGTTTTCTGTGCAGTACTTAACTCCTTGATGCCTTTTCTCTCATGATCTCTTCCTTGGCAGAAACTTCTTCAAATTTAAAAATCAGAACATGAGCCAAGTAAATAAAAATAAATAAATAAAGTTCAATGCCTATAAAAAGTACACAGACTAACCTGCTTAATTATTAACAAGTAAACATAACAAATTCTGAATTATTTACTTAATCTTTTTCAGCTACAAACCTCAGACTTTTAGAGCATGAAATACATGCTTTATTTTAGGACACAAACCAGGTATTTTATAAG